TTACAGCACATCTGCTCAGAGACTCAACTATCAAATGTGTTGGGAAACACAATTCTAAAGGGATGAAATATAAGAGAAAATATTTGCATAATATCAAACAAATCAGAATAAATATAGATATTTTACAGATGAAAAATTTTCCCCCTCTACCAATACATAATTGAATTGTTATTACAGGGCAGATCAGCGTACATCTGGGAAACAGAAATAGTCGTATGTAAACACTGCCCTGCTTATGGATAGAAAAAAGCATATTAGGGAAATGTGCTTCAGCGCTGGTAGACTCATAAACTAAAGCATGCTTCCTTAACACGGTCACTTCATTACCCTGGCAACTTCTTTCCAGTTTCCTTATCAGAAATTTGTAATATGTGAAGAATAAAGGGAGAATCCAGCTTTCATTTTGCAGTGGCTGCCTGGCATCTGAGTATCGAAGTGTTACACCAGTATTTATGTGATAGAGATACAATCAGTAAAGTTCATGGTTACAGAACACAATAAAGCATTTCTCTTCTTCAGTAAAGGCACCTTTGGCATTAAGTCCATTTTCTGCATCAACCCTCATAATATTATGTTCTATACCTAAGAAGTTCCCTAGTTCTCCTGGATTTGCATATTGTTTCAAAATTGCTTTATGATTCTTACATGAAAAATATTCTCAGATACTGAACACTGCTTTAAATTCAGTTGTTAATATTATTAGTGGTGGTTTAAACAGAAACCTCGTTTGAGCCTGCATGCATTTCTGCAGGGAGAGTATTGCAGAACTGAATCCTTGGCTCTTGATCTGTTTTTTAGACTGGATCCAGACCCAGAAAGAAAAAGCAAAGTCTCACATGAGTGGTCTGGCTGTGATATTTTGAACCTAACTGCAAAAAAGCCCTAAAAGCAGTGGACCATATGCAATGTCTAATTGATTAATCCTACTCTTTGGGTATTTCTGTTATTTCTAGTAAAAAAGAATCATTAAAAAATGGTTTCTGAGATTTTGTTTGTTGACTATGAGCCCTGGCCTGACCTCAGCCTTGAATTTAAATCCCCAGTAGAAGTCTGAAATGAAACCACCTCTGGCTTAGTTATTAGTGATTATAATTATTAACAGAAGTATCCAGTAAATGAATGGCTTTCAGTGACATGGTGTTTTAACTTAGAATAACGGGTAAATAAAAATGCACTTCCTTCTTACCTTACAGTATCTTCTCCCATAGCTATGCAGGATCTGGTCCTCACATTGGCATGATAAAAGACACAAGCCCAGCTATTTGCCTATATACATATGGATTTGCTCAAACACTAAAATTCTACATATTACAAATCTGCTCCTCCTGTACCAGAGTTGATGGTTTGAATCTTGCTTTCTCTGCAGCTGAGCAGCAGAGCGGAGCAAGAGCAGCAGAAGCGGCTGCTCTGGGAACACCAGCACTGGAGCTCCAAATCCTGCTTTGCACATCAGTGCTCCCAACGCATGCTGGCTCCCTTCCAAAGGCCATGGTTTTACCACATGAAATGGTCCAAGACAGCTCCCAGACTATCCCATGGAGGGATTTAGTGTCCTTCTATGGTGTCTCCCATGCAGCATGAAGAAAACCTGCTGCTGGGAGGTATCTGACCTGGAGCTAGCTCCACTGGCAGGAGCAGACTCAGAGGAGACTGTCAGCTGGTTCAAACGCTGTGATTCCTTGAGACATCTCTCCAGCTATCTGCCTGTAAGTTGCTGTACCTGGACGAGGTTTAACAGGACTGAAAGGAATACCTTCTGCCTGTTGTCACAGGACACAAAAGCCTGGACCATCACCAAAACAGGAAACAGAAAACCTAAGCTGTGAATCCAACCGAACAAATTGGCCGGATTATAACAGTGTTGGGAAAGCCCAGCTTTCATTATAGCTGGATTGCTTGCTGCTCAGCACCGCGGGCAATCAGAGCACAGCAGCAGTAGGAAATGACCCTGTAGGGAGCAGCCTGCAAGCCAAATGCTGCGTAACCTGGAGAGGACAGCACACAGAAGCAGGGAGGAGGCAAGGGTAGGGCAGATGAAGAGTTATAAGGAAGAAACTGGGAACACATTTGTAAAAGTGCCTAAGGGACTACAGGGAAACGCTGGTTTCTTTCAGGACAATAGGAACAGAAGTGAAGGGCACAGCTGAATTACTGCAGTAGTACGTAAATTACTGCCCATGCATCATCACAAGTCATGGCTCAGCAATTAAGTGCATGGATACCTCTCCGCACATCCCAGCTGCAAGGTAAACCAGACTTTTTTATGCCTCCTCCCTCAAAGTTTAAGCTTCCACGTTCTTCTGGATGGGAGCACATGCTCAGTCACTGCTCTGTGGACATGCAATAACTCAATGGACTCTCTGGGCTCAACAACTAAAATGCCCATGGGATTAAGGCTACACTCCTGAAAATTAGTTAATTAAACTCTATGTCAGGCTTTGTCTTATGAGGCTGAACTGCTGCAGAAAAATAGAGCAGGTGATCATGAAACTAAAGACCATCTCGTTGTGCACAGAGAGGAGACATGAAGGTGGCACAAGCAACTCTCTTCTGTCATCCCTTGGTGGCTGAGTCCCTTGCTTGGCAATATTTGTTCTCCTTTAACTCAGCCAGTTGAATGTCATGTCTATGCTGATATATCAATATATGAACACCTCTACACTGAGGGCTAAAAGAAGCAGCTGAAGAAATAGATAAAATAATTAGGGTAGTCTAGATGCTGCCCTGAGGCTACACCCCTATCACCCCCAGTGAGATGAATGATGGACCATGAGGTCCAGGGAAGACTGAATGCATAGGGCTTGGGCACCACTGGCTCACTGCTTCTGGAGGGGCTTGGGAGAGTAGCAAAATGAAGGAATAAATTGGGAATTTCTCTGGCTGATCGTGCTCCTTCCTGCAGCAAATGCTGAGGCTGAGAATCGCCCTGGAGGTATCCTTCCCTCAGACCCTACACAGTGGTCCAGGGAGCCCCAGATCTCCTCCCTTCCCCCTCAGTTCACAGAAGAAAAACACTAAGATGTTTCCATTGGCTTTTACATCATCTTTTTGTAGAGACTAATCTTCAGTTTCAACAATACATCTTTTGTGAAGCACTCCCAGCAGAAACCTTAGACACCTTCCCTAAGATCTGTTTGCTTACAGAAGACGAGGTAGGATTTGTTTAAATCCAGCTAGATTAATTTCTTGCAGACATTAGTGAAGTGAGATTTAATCAGGTTATGGCCCTACATTTTCCAGGGAAATAAATCACACTTATTACTAGGTTGGAATAAGATGCAAAGCTTGGGCTGAGAACATTCAAGCTTTTTTGTTTTTCTGGGGGAGAGCAAATGGATAAGTTGAGAATTCTTGCAAGGCTGTCAAACAGGGAGCTCAGCAAAAGGCCCTCAACAACTTGTAGGAGGGAAAAGAGAACGAAAGCCTTAATGGCTCACGCCAGCCTGGGGGTGGGCCTTGGTCCCCATACCCTGCCTTGTGGAGGTCCAGTCCTGACTCTATTTTACTCAGGCCTAATGCTGTAGGGTCCGTATCACTACAGAAAGCAGACAGGAGTGTTAAACAGCATTTAAAGTAGATTCCCGAGGTCCATTTCAGATCCTCCAGGTGAACTCTCCCATAACCCTGGGGATCTCACTCCTCTTCTGGGTGTCTGTTTCTGCCTGGCACATGGAGATGTCTCCTTGCATCAGAGGGGTGTTGTGGGATCAAGCAACCGTTGCAAACCTTTGTACAGACCCTAAATGGAAACCATGATGGTCAGCAGGTCTCAGAGTGTAGGCATATCCTGCTGCAATGATTTCTACGTTTGCAATATGTGTTTAACAATGAATGTCGAACTGTATTTATTCACCTCAGACATTTTTCTAAAGCAAGGCTGGCTAGGAAAAAAAGCAAGCAGCTCTTTTCCAGATTTTTGATTTTAAAACTGCTCTTCTCATTCAAAAAAAAGAAAAGAGACTGCTCTCAGCTACGCTAACAGTTTTCTTTAGTACAAATGCTAATACATCCTGTTGTATAAAGCCATGTATGTGCAAGAGACAAACCTTCGGAAATCAAACGGCAAAGGTCCTCTCCTCTATGCCAGCATGGGAACAGACAGTTGAAGCCAATACAAACCTTCCGGCTAACTACAGGTTTGTAGGTGAAGTGCCCAAAACCCAAAAGCTTTACATCCATTTCCCCTTATCCAATGGGCTGTGCAAACACTGGAGAAAGCAAATTACGGTAACGCAGCCTGCAATCAAGTTTCAAATCGTGCAACAAAGCAGCACAAAACACAATGGGATCAAGTCAAAATCTTATTGCGGAGCACAATAAAATATATCCTGTTTGGTTATGGAGGAGAAAAGGAAATATCAGGCAAGGCAGCACAGCTGCTTGTAAATACCCTCCTGCCAACACTTTCCCTGGATAAATTAGTCTCTGAACCCTGAATCAGCCCGTCTGCTTAAAGGTAAAGGCTACAATTCTGTTTCAGGTTCAATGGGAACTCTTTTCCCAGCCTTTTCTTGCCTTCCTGCTTAGAAAGAATAGACTCTCCAGAGACAATTCTGGATCTGGACCACAATCTTCCTCCTTTCAGATAACTAAGTATCTCTGGGCGGGAGTAAATTTAAAGAAGCAGCTGGTAATTATGAGCCAAGTGCTTACTGGCAGGATTTCCCCACCGCTGCTGAGCCAATGCTTTTGGGACTCTTTGGTGATAATTATCAGGTAAAACCCACAAGCCAGGGGAGGTTCCCTCATTACAACCATCAGCACGAAACAATGCAAAGGTGGGCGGAGGACGGCTGAAAATTGTGTCGGAGGGTTGCCTGACTCCCCTTTCTTCCACACACCTGACGTGGTTGTTCATAATCGCTGGGCATTTTCTAGGTAGTACTGGAAAGCTACAAAATTTGTTCCCACACCTACAGCAGTAATAAAACCAAATGACCTTTTTCTTCCAGCTAATCAAAATGAACTGAGCAGCACTGGAAATCCATCACAGCACTTACTCTTTTGGAGGGTTAAGGTCTTCTGGGCGAGCCTCGAAGAACCTGAAGACTTCATCACACTGTGAAATGTGAGGAGGAAGCCGAACCAGTGCCTGCAAAACAAAATAGGGAGAGAGAAGCACTTAGAAAAGTCAAGTTCAAAACGTGGCCTCAAACACTTAAACTACCAAACAAGAGGAGGCAAAACAGTCCTGGTAGGGGGAAGGGAATACAAAAGGAAAGCATCACGCCTGGCTACTTACCTGACAACAAAGGAAACAGCATGTCTTGACTGCAAATGTCAAGCAGGATGCAATGAATTGAGACAAGCAAAGGTTTTTAGTCAGCCACTGTAATTTTTTTGCCATGTGTACAAGAGCAGAATTTGGTCCACATGTGCAAAACCATAACATTGAGTAGATAAGTGCTCTGTGGCTGGGACAGTCTCTGTGACATATGTTTGCACAGCACCTCAAACAATGTGGTTAGAGCTTACAGGCTTTATGTCAATGCACACAAATTCAAGCAATGAAAATCTACAGACTCAACACCCACTAATACAACAGATTAATGTGCTCCATAAAGCTTTCCATTAAGCACTGTCAACAGAAAAAGCAGAGTTTGCTAAAAGAAAAAAACAAACCACACAACAATTTGCTCCTAAATTAACAGGAAAGGAAGTTTGATTAACTGAAAAAAAAAAAAAGGCAGAGAGGATATTTCTGCATGAAGCAGACTTTGCAGCACATCCTGGCTAACAATGTCCATGCACTCCGCAAGGCACAGGTACGCAGCGCTTGTCGCATTCAGCAATAGTTAAATACAACTTGGGAAGCAACCACATTATGTTGAAGTGCACTGGAAAGCAAGACTTCAAACCAATGAGACAAACATGCAAGGTAGAAACGTGCTATAAATTTGCTGTTCAGAATTTGGAGCCTGATGGTGCCCAAAGAGGTCAAAGAGCTGTCCCCAGCACACAGAGATGGGACAGCAGCTCTAAGTGACATGACTCTGAGACTGCCTCCAGAAATGACTAGCAGGAGAGGAAAAGAGGCTGGAGTTCACCTCCTCCTGCGCTAAGTTATGTTGAAAATAGACCACAGGTTAAATATAGACCAAGCTTCTTAGAGATGCTGTAAACCTGTTTGACAAAATGAGATTGTCTGGCTCTTCTGCTAGTTGAAAGTAGGACAAACAATCTTGAAAGGTGGATGAAAAACTGTACCAGAGCTAAATGAAGACGCATTAGGACAAACTGGTTATACTAACCCATGAGACATCTGATTGATCTTGGTCAGACACACCAGAAGGCCCAGGCACAGCACAAAGGCAGGACAAGGCAGTTGATTACCCTCATGGTTATTTTTAACCAGGCTTTAGAAGTGTCTAGATTTGTTTCCAAGACCACTCCTGCTTGGGGATGTGAAGGAAAAGAGCTGAAAAATGAATAAATCCTGCTCTGAAACTGCAGGTCTCCAGTATTAGATGATGAGGTCTTGTTTTGAGGTGGCCTGAAATTCAAAGCCAAGTGCTTCCATATCTACAGCTCTCCTTTCCCTGGTGGAGAGATGTTAAAGAAACACAAGGAAAATCCATTTGATATCAGCAGGCCTGTGAAGAATGAGGCCCTGGCCTTTGGTCATGTGGAACCGCACTATAGAGCAGAAAACGATACCTCGCAATAAGGAACCTGCATTAGATGCAGAAGCCAGGTAACAGCCTGGTGGGTCCAAGTGCCGGGGCATCCGTACAGAGCACTACTGGTTGCTGCACTAATACAGGATGAAACATAATAGGTGGAAAACTCAAGTGCTTTAATTTGAATGAAGGATGCCCTGATCCCCACTGCTATCCACTCAATGTTGCCTAAAAGCATAACAAAGGTGTGAGCTCTCTGCCTTTACTCCTAGTGTGCATAAACACATGCATCCAGCTGGCAAATCAGGACTAACCCTGGGAAGTCAGGAACTGCCCAGGAATAGTAACAATCCCAGCATGTTGAAAGAGAAAGAGAAATGCCTTGCCAGCACATGTTAGGAAGGACACAGACAACAGTAAAGCATGTTTTATTCATCTGCATCTCAAGCAGGAGACATACTTACATAGAGAGGCAATGCTGTCTAACCAACAGAGGATGGGGCTGAGATTTAGTGACGGCTCTATTACTAATGCCCTTCTCAGTTCGAGCAGGTTACTTAACCTCTTTCCATCAAATTCAGCAGGGATATATCTTCAGTTACCCATTTACAATGCTGAGCAATAACACTTACCTAATCCTCAGAAAGGCTATGAGGTATTTAATAACTACTGTGTGTTTTGAAATCTCACAGGGCTTGATCTTGTGCAGTCAATGAGGCAAGAGCAAGCACTGCAAATGATACGTATCATTACTACAGAAACACAAATACCCAAGTTACACCTATCACAGGGGGTCCTGGGCATCAGATGCCTTCTCAAAGAATCACCACCTCCCTACAGGTCGCAGGTGTTCACCCTCCTCAAAAAACAAACTATAGATGTCAATACTGAGGTGGAGTACAGAGCACGTTTTCAATGATGGAAGAGCACAAATCCTACCAAGCTGACATGGAGATTTATGTTTCTAAATCTTTAGAAGCTTTAGGAAATCTAACCTCCCTGAATCAGTGGTCCCTTGCCTGGAAACCTCTAGGAGCACTGTGGTCTTGCTGAGCCGAAGGGCAGTAATTGAAAAGCATGTCCATGACTCCAGGCTTTGGCAGGCAGTGGATAAAATCAGCCGAAGTCATTTCCACACCCAGCTATCCACCTTCCCACCTTACTGACATGGCAGCCCTGGGGCAGGGCTGGCTCTCCTGCTTTTGAATCACCTCCCAAAGTGCTGCAATTTTCAGCCCAGTGCACGGAGGTGAAATGAAATCCACCTGGTAGTAACTTGCCATTGCATGTTCTTCGGGGAGTTCTGGGCTAAGTCTGCAGCTAGTCAATTTTCACTTGTTTTTGTTAAGGAACAAAACCTTAAGAAAGGGTGAGAAATGCTAAGAAGGGGTAAGAAATGCTAAGAAAGGCTAAGAAAGTGCAAACAAGGGTGTAAAACCAGGCAGAGTTGGTCTATTGATTTTGGACAGTGGCAGGGAGCAGCAACACTTTTTTGAGAAACAAACGTCTCTTCAGCAAACACACAACATCCACCCAGGAGCAAGCCAAGTCCAACGCGGTTCCAGCGAGTGAACAAAAAGTGCATTGAAGAGATGAGGGACACTGCTGTCACTCTGCAAGGGGAAAATGCAAGTTTCTGGTATTTCCAGTTCCAGGGCAGAGCTGCAACTGCTTGAAGGAAAGACTGCAGAGTCAAGTAAAGAAGGGTAAAGAAAAAGAGGAAAACAGATGGTGAAAGGATGGAAAGGACAGGGAAGTGACATTCTTCCTGGGATGTGGAAACCAGAGGTAAATGCACACAGCTACAAACAGTAAGCATCCAGAAACAGTAAGGAATTTGCACAGGAAAGTTGAGAGATAAAAAGTACTAGCAAGCAGAATTCAGCCTTGCACAACCACCGAGTATTATCGATAATAGCACGTTTCCTTGCACTGCATGCAAAGGCGGACGTGCACTGCTCAGACCTCACACACTCCTTAGGAGATATGCTTTTATGTGTTATTTCAGCCTGTAACGATGTCTGTTTCTATATTACAGGTTTCAGACAGTCTCGCAGAGCAGATGATTCGAAAGGCTATTAAAAAAAGCTGTGACATCAGGCAGGGCATGAGCAAGCAGCCCTTGGCACTGGGGATGGCCGGCTACTTACCCAGCACCAGCCGGCCGGCTGCTGCACATCACACACGGCATTCGAAGCAAACAGAGCACCGGGTGCAGGCAGGGGTTCATCGCTTAAGGTTACATGAACTGCAGACAGCTCTGTGGGACTACATTACAGCCCAAAGGCTTCAAAAAATACATGCACATGGATATAAAACTATGCAGTGCATTGTAAGGATGTACTGAGTGCTGTGTGTTGCATTTATGCAGACACATTTATGAAAAAACAGACGCACAGACATATATATGTAGAGATACACAGCACGTGAGTAGGTGTGTGTATATGTAGCTACAGAAGGATATTCATCCCACTGAACCTTGTATGTCTAAAATGGGAGACTGGTCACACTTGTCTGTCAACTTGTTTAACTGCTAGAGAAAGACCAGCGCCTTCAGGGCCTGCTCTGTCTACGCCACCACGTACGTCTACATCTGGGTGGGGTGAACTGTCTCTCCCTGGAGCCCAATGAGGGAGTTCTGAGGTACGGCTCTTGGATCCCTAATATTCAGCAGGGTTAATCCCAGCTCTGCGCACAAATACACAGAGACAGCTGACAGCACTGCATGGTTATGACTCCCTGACTATTAGTATGATAGATACATATTAAGTATCCTGTTCTCAATTGTTTATCTTTTTAATTAACGCTAATCGTTAGTGCCAGACATTTGGGAATGGCAATGAGTCCAGCAAAGGGGAAGGTGCAATTAAAATAGTTCATTTCTCAGAACAGAGAAAATAAATCGTTTCACGTATGCGAAAACACTTCCCATTTCTGTTTTGTTGAGAGCCTCAAGTAAATCCAAGCTTCAACGCAAAGCACCGAAGTGGGGAGGCTGGATGGCAAACACTGAGTGTCAGAGACATGGATGAAGAATACATGGTGGTGACTCAGACTACAGAAGAAGCGAGGAGATTTAGCAATAAATAGCTGAGGGAAGGAGGAAAAGACAGTGCAGGTTTGGAAGTAACTGGGACATAGTTCTGGGCCTCTGGCATGGAAAGACCATAAGGCAATGGAAAGCAAGGCTCTACTCCAGGTGATGAGTGTCATTGCAATTAATTAACTCATTACTGCAGCTGGCCTAAACACATCAGGATTCTGAAATGTAGATTTAAAAATGACAGATAAACTTTGAAACTTTTTCACTTGAAGTCTTCCATTCTTGACCAGGACTAACTATTACTCCATCTTCAATCAGCACTAGCTTAGTTGTACAATGGATAGAGACAGAAATGTCTGTGTATCTGTCTTGACAGGTTCAAGGATTAAACCTTGAAAGAGAGGCAGGACTGAGAGATCAAGAGGGAGGTAATTATGTTTTTGAAGTGTGGTCTCTCACAGTGTGAACATTAATAAAAGAATGACCAATATTTCCTGGCACTGATGTGACTTGCTCATCTAATTTTTATTTAGATGGCATGCATTTGGGTACTCAAGCCTCACTACAGAAAAGCCTATAAGCTTCTACTTAAATCTACCTCCAGTCGGGACAGCATGAAGGCAGGTGACAAATTTAGGCAAGTGTTTATGACAATGGAACTTCACATCTTAACAGCTTCCCTGCACAAAGATGCTTCCCTCAATTAGGACAAACATGCACAAAGGTGCAAGTCTACAAATGCTGGCCTGAGTCCTCCCAGAGGGCTGCATAAGGAGAGAGCTGTGGTTTTGTGAATCACTGACCCGAGAGGTCCTTCTTGAACACAGGGCAGCACATACTGGACAAGCACACACCAGAGGTGTGTTTGGGAGATCAAAAGCTTAATAAATAAAATGCCCCTGGCAAGGTAAGGCTATGAAGTTGTTCTTTATTTCACATTGGCAAAAACTCCTAAACAAATTAAAAAAACCAGGCCTAATGAGCCCAGAAGACCTTAAATCACACTAAACTAATTCCAAGCCTATAGTTAAGAAGGAAATCATCCAGAGATACCAATTCCAGTGGGCACCACACATTTACTGGCAAAAGGCAGTTTGTTTGGTAACTCACTCAAGTTACCAGTAAGGACATCCAGACCCTGCACTTTCATGCTTACAGATGAGAAAAGTCCTGGAAATCTTCCCCTGTGTCCCACTCCTCTGATTTTCATAGCAACTTCAAAGTTTCTTGCAGCCTTAGCAAAAACATTGGCCTTATTACCTCTGTGATAGCATTTCTCTAAGCTGAAGAATGCCATGAAGAATCACCCAGGTGTGAGGGGTTGGGAGGCCCATGCTGTAGGCTCATGTCCCCGATACAAAACATTCTGCAGACCTCCCCTTACTGCAAGTATCCCCACAAACTCTCAGATGGCCTCTGCCTGTCACTGCTCCTGTGCCCGCTGCAGGAACTACAACACATCCAAACAGCAGAAGTCAGACCTGCTTCTCAGCCATGCAAATCACTATGCTCTGTCAGAGACAGTCTGCAAAAACAAAACAACAAATGGTCAAACATTTGCTCCACTCATTTGCCAAGGCCCATCTGTGCTTCATCTTTCCAGGGCAGGTGAAATGGAGAACTCTCATCTGGAAAAAAAATTATGATGAACTTTGCATCTGAACCTGCCTCCCTCCTCTGCTTCCTCACAGATTCCAGTAGACAAAGGTCTATTGTCTCATTTATTCATTTTATTATCCCATGTCAGATTTTCTCTATCAACTTCACCCACATCATTCCAGCATAATTCTCTAAATTTTTTTAAATTAAGCATGTTGTCTGCCTACCCATTTTAGGACTAGCACAGGACATAAGCTTTGCACTCTTCTTTTATAGATGCAGGACTGAACTTGTCAAAATGACACTCTTGCTCTACAGTTCTATACAATTCTCTGAAGAGTCAAAACATCCACTGGACAGGGGAAGAAATGCAGAAAACAGCTAACACTTCCAAAGGGGTTGGCATGATCCCACTCTCAAGTCATGCACATGCACCAGTAGCTGCTACAGAGTAGGAAACAGCAGCGAGTAATATTTTTCTATTAGCAAAAATCCCCAAACAAACATTTTCCCTTCTTACACCAAGAGGGGATTCATTGCATTTCACTTCAGCTTTCTAGAAGTTCTCACCGGAGCTAAGCAAGTCACTCAGGTTCCCTCTGTAGTTACAGCTAAATGGAGAGAGACCCTGTGTCTGGTTTAGGTTGGTGAAGTGAGGCCATTCTGGTTCAGACCGACTGCCTAATTTTCTGTTCCCAGTTCACAGCTTTCTGTCATTCCTGGTTAACTTCATACTGAGATGGAAAGATTACAGTAAGGTTACAAAGGTCATGCTCCCAGAAACCTTGTAAGTGGTGACGTTCAGCAAAGGTAGCAAGAAAACATTTCTGAATTTAAACCTCTGCTAAGCCCCAGAGATGAAATCCTGTCCCTGCTGAAGATCAGTAACAGGACTACCACTGACTTCACTGTGTCAAGAAGCTCTCCTTCTACAAGCTGTTTCCCTAAATTCTTTGTACCTTTGAAGTTCAGTGCCTGATTTTCATCATTATTGTCAGCCTTATGGGCTTTAATACCCTGGGCCAGGTTTGGAACAGTAATAACATAAGACAATCATTCTTTGAATAAATGCAAATTGGATGAACCATAAACATTCAAAAGAAAAACTTAATCTCACAAAACGTGCAGTCTTAGAAAGGTTGGGAGAGGTGTGAGTTGCAACTCCCAGGTCCCTATTTACACAGGTTGTAAACTGTGTGCTGTGGGATTTAAGAATGGGTACGTCCTGTGCCAGGCAATGGCATGAGCAACTACCATCTTCATTTACCCTCTGTAATTTGGAGGAAGCTGTGGCAGAAGATGAAGAAATCAGCCCATAACTGGACCTGGTGACAGGCAGGACACCATCGCTACTTCTATACTGTTTTTGAAGAGCAGGCACAAGCCTGCCTACCATCCCCACTGGACACAAATTAATGTTCAGGCATGGGTTTGGAGTCAAATGCAGGGGATGGAAAAAAAAGCTTGGCATTGCTTTACTTCCCAGCATTGGCTGAAGCACTCAGCTACCTGCAGCCCAGACTGTTCAGGCACCACCGCGGCCATATATGCTCCAACAAGATACATCCCAGGGGGATGGATGAATTAGCCGGGGCCTTCTTTCCTTGAAGACCTGACACCCGATGCAGAAAGACACTAAGCAGGATGTAGCCCTCTTGAAGCACTCACACAGACATGAGATGCAATGCCTGCTCAAGCTTTTCAGTGACTATGAGTCTCGCTCTCCAATGCCATCCAGATAGAAACATCTTCTACTGTGAAGTACAGAGGCAAATTAAATACAAATTACAGTAAACTGTAAATGAAATAAAAAGACACTACATCAGGCACAAGAAATTTATGAGCCAGAGATCACTGGAAACTGGGATAATATTGTGGAGAAGCCACTATAGGTTTGTCATACTCAGTGCTGGGCACCACGGTGGCTGCTGCTGGAGACAGGAAACACTGGGCTTGGGGAAACGGGGCTAACCCAGCACGGCTGGGTCTACGCTCATAAAAGTAGTGCCTGTTAATAAATAGGTTAAGTAAACAGCTTGGCTTTGGGGAAGCATCCAGCCGTGTCTGTGCTGGGCAGCAGCAACAGATCTGCCCCATATCATCTGAACCAGAGCGAACTGAGCCAGAGTCTCCAGGAGAGAAAAAAGGAAGCAAGGAGGAGGAGAGCAATCACAGCGCTGTAGTGTCAACGAATGTGCTGGCGGCCGACGCCACAACACATCCCTTGGCCATGACTGGCGGGGCACTGGCGGGGCCGGCTGGGTCAGGCCGCGTCTGTCTGGGGCACAGACAAAGGGGTCCCAGAGAAGCAGCTGCCCCCCGGCATAAGTCACCACTTTCTCCACTGCGCATCTGCTGGGTGAACCCTGACATCAGCCCTCACCGCTCACGTCGCCGGCAGTTCCTGTCTGAAGGAGGGCTGCTGGGGACGCAGTAAGACCCTACATATTTTAAAGAGAGCCATTCGGCCGCCAGCAGGAAGACAGTGTGTTAATTGTCGCGCAAGAAAGACTGATCTCATGAGATAAGACTTTAATCGCAGCTTCCTCGCCCCGAGGGTCCAGATGGCATGAGTTTCACTGACCCCATGCCTCTGGCACTTTGGTGATCTGTTCCCAATTTTGGACGAGCAAATGTCTGACTGGAGAAGTTCTTGGGAATGTATTTTTTCCCCTCCACCTGCTCCTCTGACTTTCTAAAAATGGAAAGAAAACCCCAGAGGAAATAAGAAAGGAAGTCTGGGGTTTAAATCATGTGCTGACTGACACACCCGATACCTATACAAAAACTGGGTATCTGCCCTGCTTAGAAATTACTTTTAATCTACTGTCAGAGGATTAATTATCATCAAATCATAAACTTTAAGCTAGAAAGGAAAGATTAGGTGACTTAACCTTCTTCTCAGCACAGCTGTGCTTTTCTGCCCTGCAATAAATTTCCAGGCTTCTCCATCAGGAGAAGCACAACTGGAAGCCAACGGTCCACCCCCAGTGCTGCACCAGCCAGCACTGTCCCTTGCTGCGGAACTGGGGGACAGATGAGCAGGGAACAGGAGGAAACACCATCTGAGTTGAGCCTCTCTGCCTGCTCAACTCCTGCATTCATCAAGGCTGATGTAGAAATAAAATCCACATTCAGGGCAGATAAGGCTTACAGCCTTTACTGAGTAAATGAGGCACCAACATAGTGAATAAGTTTGCAGGAGAAAATGCTGAGAGGACCGTGGGAACAAACAGAGGCCTGTTTTCACCTGCTCTGTTAGTCTTGGTGGTGTTTGTGAAGGACCATCCTTCCTTATGATGGACTCAACACGGACGAAGCTCTTAGAAGTACCCAGCAGGGAAAGCCCAGCGATGGCGGTGGCCGTGAGTCCCCATGCAGCAGGGCTGCCAGATGCTCCCCAGAGCTCTTACCCTGCAGTACTCGTCGATGGGCTTCAGCCTCTTCACAGCTACGTCTCGGACATGGCTCCTCCGGAACAGGATCTTGCCTGAAGAGGGAACAGATGAAATGGGAGGGTTAGGGGCATCACCTGCCATGCAGGACAGCACAACAGCACCTAGCACGAAGGTCAGCAGATGCAGTTTCATCCCTGGTTCCAATCACGGCTGCCAGCAGTGCTGGTGGTTGAGCTCTGCAACCCTGTCATGACCCAAAAGAGGAGTCCCAATGCTGCAAAGATTCACACAGGAGCAGCTCTGTGTGACTGCGGCCCCCCATCACTACAAGTCAGACAGGACGGCACACTCGGAGGAGGTGGGAGCAGCAGATCCGCTCCTGCCCTCGGAGCAGAGTGCACAGAAACACGCTGCAGGGCAGGCAGTGGAAGGATGGGGGGCAGCAGTGATTACAGGAGCGTGCATGGCAACTCTCACAGCTGGATGCTGCTCGTCTTAAGTTTGCACAGGAGTTGCAGCACACAGCCAACAACTATCATGAGTGCAGCAGCTTTATGAAACCTCAGCGACTGCTGCCAAAGTCCTGCTTGTGTGAGCCACCGCAAGGGGACCACAGTGACTCATGGGGCAGAGGGAGCTTTTCTGATTTCATCCTGTAGATAACGCAAAAAGCTTTGTTCCCTTTTAGTGATGGCATTATCCTGGAATGGACTGACACTGTTACAACACCCTTCACTTTGGGGCTGCTTTGACACCTCTGTGTCGGCAGTGCAAGGAGCATCACTGGGGTGGGATGCAGGCTTCATCTATGCCCCATGCCTGCCCATTCAGCTGCCTCCCACTGCAGATGCTCCTGCCCTTGCAGGGAGACAAACCACACAGCCAGCTCACGAGCAAATACAGGGCTGCTGGTGACGGAGCCCTTACAAATCTACAGAGGGAAACCAAATAACAGAAGAAAAATAAACAAACTCTCTTTTTTTGAAAGTAAAAAAAATAGTAACCTCAGTGTCCTTACTGGATGACATTTCTGCAAGCAGTTAAGATTAAATAAACGGCTCGGTTTTGTGTGAAACTGATTGTAACAAAGTTTATCAAAATAATCTAGGAGCTGAATTTCCCCCCACACAAGGATGTCATAGAGTTGGTATTTTTTTGGCCAGAAGGGATTATATCTTCATATCCTTTTTTGGTGGTTTTCTTCCCGTTTTCTTTTGTGCTATATTTCTTTTAATGTAATGAGACAAGAATAAATTGTATGTTCTGCTTGTGGTGGAAGAAAACAGTATCTGCCAGCATTATTTCGTCCATGAAATGTCTACGTAAAAAAACCACTGACATATATACCACCCCCTGCTCCAAACTTCTTCTGCCAACAGGCAAATACTCATCCATAGATCATGGGATAAGAAAATTGACTAGGAAATGAAATCAGATCCAAAATCTGAATATGTGGCTTTGATTTTGTCATGACTACACAAGCTGAGAGGTTAAAGAAATAGCAGCCTTTAACAAACCAGCAACAGAGGCTCTAAACCCTCCCAGGCTCTGCCCCTTTTGGTTGCCTTTTCCTCCATAGCTGCTAATCTGGAAGGTGTTAAAGCCTTTTGTTTGAGACAGGAGAAAGCGGTTTATCTCCATCTCCAATTCTGGCAGCAAAACAGTTTGTCCTGCAAGGTAAAGCCATTTCCTAGTGCCATAAATTTATCTCTCTGGGTTCCCTGTAGTTGTCTCATTACAAAGCTGGTGCTGAGCCATCCCTGTAGGATACGATGGCACGTGGTCACAGAGCACAGGGGAAATCTTCAATAGGTGTCTGAGACGTTCCTCTGAGCTTGAGCAATTTAGTCAAAGGCTGCTGGAGAAGAAAGGTGGCACTTCCATCTTCCTGCACTGACTGACTTTGGACACACCAAAACCTTGCTGCTTTCCTGCTATTCTGTCCCGTAAATGAGGAGAACTACCTGCACGTCCCAAACATTTCTTATTATTTCTGATAGCCTCTAGGATCACACTGTACTTGTACTGCGCAACCGCAGGAAGCTGCTTTTTTGGGGAGAAGGGGTGTCGGGGTAGATGTAGAAAAAAGACTAGTTCCTTTCCCTGTGCTACAGAAATGCTGGTGTGGGAAATCTTGGCATTTCTTTGCACTTTTATAAATATACTGCAAAGAGAAAGCGACATTTTGGAAACATTCTCCCTTTCTGCCTTTCCTGTTTTCAGTTCAAGCCATGAGTCGAAAGTCGAAACGGTGACCATATAAAAACATAAAGGAACCAAAGACTTAAAACACATTAAAGATCTCCTGTAAATGCAATTCAGCTTTCCTAAAAAGACAGTTTACAAGGAGGTCCCGTCTTCAAAGTAACATAATAAATGAAAGACTCAAACATAAGAAACAAGATAAATAGAATAAAGAACGTTATATTAAACACTGAGTACAAAAAAGACCCCAGGATATGATGAGTCTTAATTCAGTCCTTAAATGGAGATGGAAAATATCAGGATGACTGTGGTGTTAGGACAAAGCAAAGCCCAGAAGGTGCTTCCATTTTTATTCCTTCAGAAAAAGGAAGATTTTCCCTCTGATATTGGATGTTGGAAAAGGCTCGATGAGGGCTGTGGGGAAGATCTGCAGTTGCCCAGTCCAGTATGCCATTCAAAACTGAGATCTGGAGAAAGCTGAGTAGTTTAGAGCACCACAGAGTAGCAGTCAACAAAGAAAAAAGCAAGAAGAAAAACAAGGACACTCCGCAAGCACATCCAGTTCTGGTGGGCAGCAAGGAGGGATCCCCTCACAAATCCTTGGGCAGAGAAGCCTCATTGCCAGGGGTACTGCAGCACCTCTAAGTAGGGACAAATTCCCAAATGCCCAGCTTCCCCCCTTCTCTGGGAAGACAGACTGCCATCAGAAGCTTGTCCAAATCTGTCCCGATCGACCAGCAGGAACTACTGCAGATCCAGTACGAGTTACTAATGCTTCCTCCAGTTCCCCCATTTCTACTGGTCTTCCTCTGAAATCAAGGGAGGTCCCATGGGACTGAAAAACAAAGGTAACCCGAGAGACCCACGCTGTACACTCCTTTACACTCTCCAAGTGGGTGTACTGGACACAGACCCCTTTAATGGAAAGCTTTGCCTAACAAGGTAGTTGGGTTCATTCCGTTATCGCCATAAAGAAATAAAGAGGAGGCAGACAGCCAAGCAGCGAGGTCACGTAACAGCCAGAGAGGAGCCCTCAGGACGGCAGTGGAAAGGAGCATTTCACGCAGTGCTAATGTGAAACAGGGAAGTCCCAGAGTGGCCGATAAATGCAGAACAGCCCAGGCAATTTCTTTGTGAGGGTGGAGTAGCGGTTTACGTGTCACTTGGCTTTTCCTCTTGGTAGTTTCCACATCTCTAAGGAAGGGATCTACTTCTATGCAAGTACATACAGCCCTGCTTCCTCTCCTGAATTTTACTGCAGCTCTTTTAAGCCTCCTCAGGCACTACGCCCCCATTTTACAGAAGGACGAGTGGCTTTTTAACCATGCTGCAGCCCAGCTAGGAAGTGAATGGGAAGTCTGTCTCAGACTTAGATGGGAAACTATAGACTATGTGGGATGGCGCTGCCTCATGCAAATATTTCATTCACCAATGTACCAGGCCTGGACCAGGCCAAGGGAGGTCTGGCACATGTTAGGAAGGACTTGAGGATTGCAGCACTGGGAAAGAGAGATGTGGGGAAGACACAGGGCTCCAGCCCTGCTGCTAATGCAGGATAACAATATTTATTTTTATCCTTTTTTCTTTAAAGAAAATATTATTCCTAGGAAATTAATGTGGATAAGAGGCAAAGTATCAGGTTTAGCATTGTAGGGGACATCTTAAGTCATCCCTTCATCTCTTTGTATATATATAGATGTAGTCTTTAAGTCCACGACCACACACCTCTTCTCCCACAAGACCTTGGTTTCGTCCTGTATACACAGCGGGTGCACAAACTGGGAAGAATAAAGCCATGCAGGAGACTGTCTATCTGGCAGCTTCTGATTTTGCAAGCTTAAAGGTATCCTCTGAATATCACTTTATTCCTGCATAACCTCATACTTAGAGTAGCACAGATTTAAACAAGTGCCATGGACTCCAAGTATAAACAGGCTTAAAAGCATCCCAACACTCTGATCCTCCCATTAGCCTACAGGTCTGTGCTGAACACATCAGAAGGGTCCATAGCCTAATGCTTTGTAATGGTCAAGGATGTGGTTTGTGCAGGGAAGAAGTCCAGCTCCTGGAGAGCTTGGCGACACTGTGGAGCACAGTCTGGAGGCAGGAGAGCACAGGGCATCAGTAGGCAGAGAAACACTAGAAGTCCCCAAGGGGATGCCTAGCAGGAGAATCCAGTCTTTTCTCTTCAGGGCAGGGGGACATATGCTATACAGCCCCTATAATCACAGTAGGTGCCAGCTGTCTCAGCAGCTACTGCCCTACACTGGTGATCTGTAAGCTCTACGACAGCCTCTAAAACAACTCTCCTAATTACACTTTTCACTGTCAAGGAGAGGTGCTGCATATCTAGGCCTCGAGACCTTCCAGAGATATCTCCATGATCCTCCCACCACTGTGCCAGTGGCTCAGCCCCAGCTGCCAGCTTTGCTGCTCTTTGGAGCCAGGCAGTGACTGAGAGCTGTGGCAGGGACAACAGGAGGCAGGGAAATTGCTGTTTAGCTCCTTTCCAAATCTACCAGAGATCTACCTCTTGCTCTTACGCTCTGATTGCTGAGCTTGAGTCTCCTTTCAAGGGACATCTCGGTGATGGATTGGTCTAAGGACACCAGTTGTTTCATGCAAGGAGCATCTGTCAGAGGTTAGGAAGAGCCCAAACCCACTGTCAAAGGGACGATGGACAAATGCATATTCATATTTAATCTTCTACTCCAAGTAGCATCACCATGCTTCAGAGGGCAGTACGTGAAGCAAGCCATATGATAAATACTCAACAGCAAACAGCCTGACGACTAATGGGTGCATTAAAAAAACTAATGTCTCATCTGACTTACATTTAAGAGAGATGTGCTGCCTCCAACTACAGAAGCTCCAGCTGTGGAGGCTC